GTGTGTGTGTGTGTGTTAATGGAAGACCGTAAGACAGGAAGAGACACTGTCACTACTGTTTGTTTAACTGCTACCTTTGTCCCTGCGTGTGTGTGTGTGTGTGTGTTTAGTATGGATGTGAACACTAATGGACATGCTGGCTTAAAAGAAGCTCCAGTAGCTTCTCAGCCTGACTGCTGTCTCAGTCTCGGGTTGATAAAACACATGTGGACTGGACTTAAGCTCCAGTTCTTCAGAGCACGATGAAAACACTTTTTCTCCAGGTTCAGCTGCATTAGATGTGCCATGTTTCATAATCAGTTCCAGATGTTTCTAACTAACTCTGTACTGCCAGACACGGGGTCAAGCTCAGGTAAACTCATGGGAAATGTAGGCATGTACTAAAGAAACTACAGGGCAGCTGATTTAGTGTGAGGACGTTTAGACGGCTGAATGTTAAGACTTTTTTACTGGCACAAAATGTCATAATGTGATTTATTAATCCAGGTGAATTTGAGTAACTAACACAGCCGTGTAGCCTCTCAGGGGTTGAAAAGCTAAGGTGCCATGAAACCAGATCTCTACTAAAAGCAGTGAGATGAAATTTAATGTGTGTGAGAGAGTCAATCGATGAAGTACGTAGTACACAGTAATCAGTAAATATTGTAATATTTAAAATGTAATTTTGCACTCAGTTCTCTATTGCAGCAAGATTTTAATTTGTTTTTCAAGCTTTGTATATATTTATATTATATTTAAATCTAAATTAATTAGCCAATGGGAAAAAATTTGTTTTGCCATGAGAGACATTTATTTTTAAACACTTTAATCTGTATATAAACATTATGATTTAATATAATACTGGAAAAACAAAGTAACAACATAGTATATTTTTATTTAAGCTCCAGTTGGTGACTGTTGTAAAATGTCCATGTTGGGACAGAAACAAGAATGCAGACTGTAACATTAGGGGCTGAAGGGCACATTATACCAATTGTGGATTTGGGCTTTCAACAGACGACAGACAGACAGGAACCATTTAAAACAACAGAAGCACAAATAAGTCCTTCCAGAAATTCAAAATGAGGAGCAACCCTCTGTTGAATGCTACTAATGTTTAAGTGTTTGTTAGAAAACTTGAAAAAAGTGGAAGAAAAGCAGCTGAATCCACTTTTACTTTTAAAATCAACCTGCCAAAGGTCTATCTAAATATCTGGATGTTTAGACTAGCCCTCATGATATTTATATGTTAGTCAGAGTAAACCAAATTACAGTTTTATCTTGACATTTTTGTTTAGTTTTGGCAGATAGTAGGATACAGTTCCAGAAAAAATGTTTCTGAATAAGTTTATTTGACTGTCATATTTAGTTTACATCAGTCTTTCACTGAAGCAGCAATGTTTGTGTGAGTATGTTTGTGTATATGAGAAGCCATTACAGTACACTGATATAACTGCACAGCTTTGTGTGTGCATGTGTGTAACATTACTACTGTTGTTTTATCTCAAATACATATATGAATCTAATTGCAGTTTACTGGCTAGCTTGTTGAAGGTCCAGTGTGTAACACTTTGGAATAAATGAAATATAACATTCATACGTATGTTGTCATTGGTGTATAATCACCTGAAAATAAAAATTGTTGTGTTTTCGTTACCTTAGAATATACAGAGGGAGTGGGTCCCCACACTGGCTTTAGATTTAGGCTTTGTTTTGTGGCCACCGTAGTTTCTCCTTCACACTTGGAATGGGAGGGTGAGGTGAGGGGTTTGTAATGTGCAACTATACCGTTAGATGCCACTAACCCTAACCCTAACCCTTTAATGATGCATGATGGGATGCCAAGCAGTTACACATTTTTCGAACACACTACAGTAAGTGAACTCTTATTAAAGCTTTCTGTCTCTATCTGTCTTTCAGCGAGGAGAGTTACGCGGTGATAGACTACGCTCTCAGGGACCAGATCTGGGTGGGCTCCTGCCAGCCCGAGGATCTCAACCTGTCACCCGTCAGAAGCACTGCCAGCATGCTGAGCTCACGGCAAGCCGGCGCCAACCATCTTTTCCGTCTGCGTTTTCGTAGCAACCACTCCGGTGAAAAGGTGCCCATGATCCTGGGGACGGAGTTACTGTAAGTGCAATTATCTTTTGTGACCTTCGTCCCACTTGTGCTGTTTTTGTTTATGACTTGCATTTTAGTTAATTATTTACGAGATCTTGCTGTTAAGCAACTGGTGAATCATTTTGTCCACTGAATAACATTACACCTGCACCTTTTTACATAAGCTGGAGTAGACATTGGGTTTAACTTTTTAGTTTACAAGCAGAGTCTCAATTAATTTGTATTTTTTCTGTGGCTGAATGCTCTCCTCTATAATAAAAAAACACTTTCTTTCTCCCTGAACCCGACTCATAGTGCTTTATCTTTCCTTTATGTGCTTTAATATGCTTTTAAACTCGAGATAAGAAAATTCACTTACCCCTCTCCTTAGCTCTTATTTCTTAGTCTCTTTTTGGACCATTACAGGTCACAGGGATATTTGGTTACATCTATTCTGAAGACATGGCCTGAGCCAAGCTGCTTGTTGTTTATGTGACCTAGGAAAGGAAGTTTATTAGTCCGTTATACAGTCATACAGTCTGCAGTCGTACTGTAACACAGACCGGCTATACCAGATAATTGTTTTGTTGACGGAGCGTCTTCCAGCCCAACCATCTATTCTCAGAAAAGCTTTCTTTTAGTCTTTGTTTAAAGTAGGCTGACTGTAGCAGAAATCTGTTGCATGTGCAACGTGAATGATTACTCACACATCTGAGCTAGAAATAGAAGTTCCTTGAAATTCATGCCTGTAGTAGTGTTGGCAAAGTTCTCACCAAACCCCAAACCCGCTGCCCGGATTCCACCCCCCTTTGTACAGCAAATACAGTGAAAAGCGAGGTTGTTTAGATAGATTATATAACCCGCACAAACAAAGGGGATCTGTCATATATCGGGCTTCATACAGGGTTTATTTGTTCTGGTTAGCATTAGGAATTGCAGTCCATGTGCACACACATACACACACTCAGTTTTCACTGTAATTATTTGCTGTGGTTCAAGGCTTTGTTAGGGAGTGTTTTCTTATGCACAGGGCCCGTTCCTCCTCATTCCTGTGTAGTTAGAGAACCTCCTTCTGTATTCTCATTATAGAGTAAAAACACTGCCTTTAAATTGATTGTAGCTCTTTTCTAGCTTTTATTTTGTTTGATTTTGAGTACATATTGTGTTATTTTGTGACTACATGTGTAAAGTTATAATCTAGAACATTTTAGATTTTACTACAGCTTTTTAATGTTAATTGTTAAAGGTAATAGAAGGCGTTCAGTCAAGCAAAATTGAACCTGGTAACCTTACTGCAAGGTACCACTTCAAAGAATAAGTCATTTTTGAGGGAGAACATAAAGTAAGTCTCCTAACAACAGCTCAGTAGATGGTACAGGTGCATACAGAGTGACAGCTGAACAGAAAATCAAATGGACAGTAGTCGGCTCTGTCTTAATAAAAAGACACCCCTTAATGTGTTAGAAATTGATTGGAACTTTCTCTGCCACATCAGCGAACTGCAGTGGTGGTCCCAACCTTTTCTGCCTGTAATCTACTTATCCAGGCTATGTCCTCTTGCAACTGTTTATAAAAAGCATTGTGTTATTTGTTCATTTGAATATTTTCTAGAGGCCTGAATGTGTAAAACTATAGAAGAATTTCACAAGAAAAAATAAAACATAATTATATGTAGCAGAAGTAAAATGTTTTATTATTTCATAGCCAGGAAATTGTCTTTTGACTCCTTCAGTTCAACCTGGGATCCACTGAACTACTGTGCATCTCCACTGCACAATTTTGTGCTTGTTGCTACTGTAAATTAAATCTAGTCTTCTTGCTAAATAGTAGTGTGAACCACTGTTATTAGCCCCCACGCTGTTGCTAAGTGAAACACTGACAAAGCGACTGCAGTAATAGTGTTAAGTGTGACTGCTATGTGCTTGTGTATGAGGGAATGTTAGTGACATGACTTAATACGCTACCCGTTGAGCTTTATACACTGCCAATGTACACATGGTTCTCCTGTCTAACTGCCCCCTCTATCTAGTGTGTGTGTTGTTGTGGAAAGCCCCTAGATTCCCTCCTTTTGATATCCTGGGTTTGGGGCCCTCGGCTTAGTTGTAATGATTTGTGTGTGTGTGTGTGAAGGCTGCAGCGCTCCACTCGCTGTAAGTACTGAATGAGCTGAGGAGAGGAGACGTTGGCAACTGTCCATTGTTACAGTGGTTGCTAGGCATTGTTTAAGCTGTTGCCTAGCAGCGGCCCATTGTTAAGTGGACTGTTTCCCACGACTATCCCTCCCCGCGCCTGTTTTTCCACTCCCCCTCCGACTCTCCTTCACAGTCCCGCGTCTCATCTTTTAGACAGCAGCCAGTGTCAGCTCTTTGTTTGCGATGACCAGAGAATTACTTCCTTTTCCTCCGGCCATTCATCCCAATTTAGTGATCTAACCCAACATGACAAATGGAAGTGGTGTTACATTAGTCAGCCTATTTTGGTCCTCTAACAGAGTAAAGTTAAGTACAAAGGACAGTTAGGAGTATTGAGGCTTTCTCAGAAATTACTATGAGTGGAGAGTAGGGCATGCAACTTTTGATTATTATTGTGATTACTCATTAAATATATAAAATGTCAGATAATGCCTATCACAAGGTTCCAGAGCCCAGGGTGACATCTTCAAATTTCTTTTTTTGATGGCAGGGCTGCAACTAATTATTTTCATAATTATTTTATACATAAATTAATTTTTGTATCATTAAAATGCCAGAACCTTATGAAAAATGTTTTTCAGAGCTGTAGGTGTCAAAGTTACCTCATTTAAGATATTAAATTTAATGATTCAAATCTATGTAAAAAGCAGGAAATAGTCACTTTGAGAAGCTGAAATAAATTTTTTGCTTGATAAATGACTGAACGACTTAATCAACCAACTTCAGCCATCATTTAATTCTATCTTCAGCTATTAATTAGTAGTAGAGAGGTTAAGGTGGTGGAATGAGTATGACCTGTATTGATAGAATTTCATGAAACCAGGTGATTTATTCAATTCATCCTTATTGTCATTATACTTACGTACAACAAAACAGTCCTGTCATTTCAAGATTGTGCGACCTACTAAAAGTAATAAATGATTAAGTTATATTATGTGTTATGTGCAAAAATGATTAAAAGGCGAGATAGTCAGCTGATTTATTCTTGATGTCACACCTCAAAAGGAAAAGACCACAGAAATGCAGGCCTACTTTGTGCCTGATTTCTTATCTGTTGACGAGTGCTGGAGCAGGGACAGAAATAAGTAGAGAAAAACAGGCGACTGTACTGCATACCTTTGCCTATATTGTTCACTACACCACTGAATTTAAGTGCAGCTCAAGTTGGGTTCCAATGTGAAATTCCACACATTCTGACCGCAGGCGGGTCTCTGTTTTCTGTGGAAATGAAACTGTAGAATTGGACTTTTTCTCATGTTGGTCGGTGTGGTTTGTTTCTGCTTTCACTTCCACTTTTTCTCTCTACCTGCTGACCCTGTAAGCCGATGCCTTACCTGCGTCCGTGTATCAGTGTGTGAGGTCTTAAGAAGCACACATGCAGTAGACTGATCTTTGACCACAGCAGTGACATAACATGTCAGGAATTCAGACAGACAGCTGGATTGGAGATAGCACAAGGACGCCACTGTAGCTGCTCTCTTGACAGTCGCCCTCCCATCGCTTGTGATGCTCTTCTTTTTCTCTGTCTTGTCTTCTTCCTTTTCTCTGTATCCTTTTGTTTGGTGTGCGCATGCCAGCGCGCCTTCCCCATGACCCTGATGTCGTGTCCTGTCCAGAGTCAGTGAATAGTGCTTCTCTATTAGTGGAACAGAGCAGCTACAGAAGTCTGCAGCAAAACAGTTCTGTTAGTCAGATATGCAGCTATAACACAAAGCAGCACCGGTTACGTAACAACCCCAAACCGGAGGAGGGAGTCTGCACTTCTGTTGCGCACTTAAACATTTTTTATTTTTACTCTATCTGCTTTCGTTTATGTTATTGTTTTTGATTTTCTCACTATGTCTGCTTTCGTTTAGGGTTTATAATAACGGGAAGCTTGCTGAAGGGAAGCGTTCCCCACTGCCTGCTGGGAGTTTCCCTGGCTGGTCAGCTCCAGGCATAGAGATGTCAGTGTTTTTGTTGTCAGATTAGGAAGTGTACCCGAATACCGTTCTGACCTGTGGTTAAGTGGAAACAAGGGAGGGACTTGGTTGAGAGTCAACAAATTGATAGGAGTGAGCAGAAAGGTTAGGAGGAGAAGGAATGAAATGATGAAACAATGGTCTGGCGCTGATTTTAAGTTGGCAGAGGAGGGGAGGTTAGAAAGAGGCTGTCATCGCTCCTTATCTGCTTTTGTGAAAGAGGTTTTACAGTGCAGCAGCGAGGCCTCTTTTCTTTTTAGGGGTTAGAACCTCCGACAATAGATTTATGATACTTGGCATTCTCTTGCACATTGGGATGAATGGTTAAAGGCAGAGGGAAGCTTTACTACCATGAATAGACTGATCCTGCACAGGCACGTAACCCTCTAGAGGAGAAGAGGGCAAGCACCTGCCATTTGTCCATATGCAGTATTCACATGCCAGCATGTAAACACTTTTTTTTTTTACCTGAACCTCTTTTCGGTACGTGCCTCACATTCCTGAAGTGCCTCTCTAACACATGTGGTTTCCCATTCACGCCTGTGTGCTCGGTATATTGAATACACGTACATTCATAGCTTCGATAAGGTATTTCAGCTGTTTAAGCACGAGACAGCGACCTGTCATAATGGCGTGTCATGTATGTGCACATGTATCTGACTGTCGGCATGTGTGTCCAGCTGTCAGAAGCGACGACTAGCAGCTGCCCTTCCCACAGAGCAGCTTGGACATTAGAAGAACTTGCACATTCAGCACAGAGAAGCACATATTCACTTTTGTTTGTTCTCATGGGATGCCCAGTCTTACAGGACTTTGTAAAGCAGGCAGGAAAGATTAGAAAAGTCACAGTGACAGATGGATCCCCAAACTGATCAGTGACTCTCACTGATTCTCACAAAATATTATTTTATATAACTAAATATCTCTATAAAATACAGGTTAAATAATATACTGTATTTGTTTCAGTAGTGACATTAGTGGCTGATATGTCTCCTCCACCTCACTCTTTCCCATTTTTTGTTCTTGTTGTAAGCTTTGTCATTCATGGACCATTATAAGCTTTAATATGTAGATCTACATAAAAATGTGTAGTCATCAATGATTAATGTAGATGCGCCTGGCAACAATAATTTTTTGCCATGCTAGTGACATGATTCTATGAATAGCAATGTTGGTCCATCAGTCAACTACTTTGGTTCAAACTGAAATATCCCTTTTTTTCTTAGGACATTTTGTACACACATTAATGGTTTTGAGGAGGATGAATCCTTATGACTTTGTTAATCCCCTCACGGTACATTAGAGACATTAATGTCCCCCTTAGGATGAATTCCAATAACCTTTGTGATCCCTTGACTTCTCATCTAACATAATCAGGTCAACGTTTCTCCAATGCTTCGTTTTTTGACCAAATACTTGACATTCCCATCAGCCTTAGCTGTACTTTGTGTTTTTTCGTTTAAATAGCAAATATAGCTGCAGTATTGAAAGTAGTGGCTCACAAAAGGAATCAGAAGAATATGAATGCCAAAATGAAAAGTTAAGTTAACCTCCAAAGTCAGCAGTAGAGATGGAAATCTCGAAACAAACAGAAAATATGAATATGAAACCGAGAAAATGATTGACGTCTCTTTACTAGTGAGTGATTATTTTCCACTTGGACTTTTAGCCCAGCAAGTATTTAAAATGGCAGTGGTGTTACTGAACATATTGCAAAGTACCAGAGGAGAGGTGATAAGTCTGATAGCTGTCGATTGACACTATATAAATCTATCGTTCAACTCCAAAGGTCACACTACACACCAGTTGCATTGTGGGTGCACATTGATTGCCTCTAAGTTAATGATTGTATTCAGATTTAGGGTTATAAAAGTTTAAGGTGATTTCATACGGTCCAATAAGTTGCTTAGGGATGACGTGACCTTGTATTTTACAGCTTGTGTGTCCTGAAAAAGATCAAAACAGCATGTGTACAATGGGAACACTATAATGAGGTCTGACTCATGGGACTTGCCTGTTTGAGGTCCATGTGAGGCCTTTGTGAAGAGTGTCCACACACATACTGCTCTGGGTTTGTGATTGTCTGTGCATGTTGTACCCATCAGCATGATGTAGGCCGACGGTGGTGAGTCACAGAGGGCCTCAATAACCCCCTCTGGTTCATTTCCTGAACCCCCATTTATCTCCCCCCGTCTTGCTCTTTCTAAATCCTCGCCTCCCTTCAGCAGAACCTGGAGGCCAGGTGAAATGAGAGATAGCTTCTTGGAATCTGACCTGTGCGACTCCACCCACTGTTTTGTTTTTTTTCCCATGAAACGCACACGAAAGAGAGAAAGCAAAAGCAGATCTGTTCTCTCCTGAGTATCAGCCTTTGTGCTTGTTCTCTCCCACTGAAAACATACCTCTGTTCTCCCATTGATGGGGGACAGAGGAGGGAGGGATGGCAAAACCTGCTGGGCAACTAAGGTATCCATTTGCCTCAATAATCTGATAGCCTGTGTGCATGCAGGCCTGCTTATATCTGACGCTGCTTGGTAAAGTCTTTTCCGGCTGTCCTGTTGTAGCTGCATATGTTCTCAAAAACAGCTGTGACACGGCATGTGCCACATCTGTAGCACAAAGTCACAACAATTAGCAACTCCCCACAGCACTGGAGTTGTGAAGTTAAAAAAACTCTCTTTGTGCCTGAACGGTTTAATAACCCGTCTGTGTGCTGTTGTGTGTTTTTTTTTTTTTTTTTTAGGAATGAGCGTGCTCGATGGATCAGCGCTCTGGGCCGGAGCGTCAACAACAATAAGTGTCAGGACCGAACCAGTAAGTTCCCACACAAACTCTGACCTCTACTTTTAGCCTATTGCACCACCGTGTGGTGATTTGATGAAATTGTTTTTTTTTCTCAGATGGTTTTAAAACAATTGGCTTGTTAATTCAGATATGTTGAAATAAGGCCAGTGCGACTTATCCGCAGTGTTTTATTTGACTTGTCTTTATGCGTTCTTTTAGGCTTCATGCAGGTGGAGGTGATCAGAACTTACACAGCCAAGCAGCCGGATGAATTGTCCCTGCAGGTGGCTGATGTGGTGCTGGTCTCGCAGACTGTAGAAGACGGTATGTTAGCTCTAAACGCCTCTCTTGTCTTTCCACTCACCTTCTTTAGTATTCCTCTCATTTCCCACCTTCCTGTTTTAAATTCATCCTTTCCATGGTGCACTTTTATTCACTCTCTCCATTTCAATACCTGTCTGTCTCACATAATGGTCCTTTTATACCTGTTTGAAGATGGAAATTTTAAATTACACAAACACACAAAGGCCAAAGGTCACTTCCCTTTTGGTGACCATGGCAACTGGCTTTCACGTTAAAGAACAGACGGCACTGAGCATGAAATACAGACAGACAGTAAATGCGTAAGGAAACACGTGCTTCAGTTTATGTGTCGATCCATTTTCTCCCTCTTAGGCTGGCATGAAGGTGAGCGACTGCGCGACGGAGAGAGGGGGTGGTTCCAAGCCGAGTGCGCCCAACAAATCACGTGCCAGGCCACCATTGAGCGCAACATGCAGAGGATGGACCGACTGCAGGGGTTGGAGACTAATGTGTAAACCAGAGGGCTCTTCTCATCTGTTAAGTGACCCGTCGACACGCCAGTGACCTGTCTTTTTAAGCACTGAACCCAGAGAAATGAGTTCAGTAACAGCATCAGTGACCTGCCTTCAGGGACCAGTTATGGGAGCTGTGTGGCTGCTGGAGTCCGTACAGTGTGATAAATATTCAGACTTCTGCTCGGCGTCCGCTAAATATCAGGCATGCTGTCTGAATTTCAAGCAAAGACAGAACAAACACAGTGGAAGAACAGAGATTTCCTTAATTACTGATCGGTCCCTGTGTGGGTGGGATGGCTTGACAGTGGGATCTGTCACATTCATTAATTCTCCGGCTGGCTAGAAAACTTCACACCCAGAGTCACTGCTTTCGACACCCTGCTACATAACAACTGTTGGTGTGAAATTTGTAAATTCTTGTTACTTTTTCAAACATATTTTTTGAGTGTAAGTGATGTGCAATGTAATAATTGAGACTACAGTGCCGCTATAGGAGGTAAAGTAGAAAGAATGTTGAGAAAATTAACACAGCCTGATGTGCGCTCTGTTAATGAGGCTCAGGCAACATGATCAGGAGCTTTTGCCAGCAACAGTGCAACTATGAAGATGCTGATTGTGAAAGTGATAATAAGGCAAGAGGGTGGGATTGGCAGCTTCTTTACAGTGTGTGGGTTAGTATAGAAACTTGTTTGAGTAGAATCCGATGGCAAGTCTAACTATTACAATGATATTTACAAGAAAATACAATCGGGCTGAGCTGCCAAAGAAAATTGTCTGAAACCTGTGGCACTTTGTGTAAATAGAATAAGTCATAATTAATTGGAAAATATAAAGAATTAGTCATCTGGGAGGTATAATCTCATATGTCATCCATGGGCTAAGCAGAAGGGCCAAGTGTCTCTTCTCTACCTTGCCGTTTGTCACTGGTTAATGTCAACACCATGAATCAGAGTCTATATTTGTGTCCCAAATGCCATTTTTCTCTCTATCTACTCAATGATTTGGACAGCCTGAAATATCACAGGCACTTGATGCCGCCAGAGGTGTGTGTATACATATAAATATCCCCCTCAGGATTTATATCTGTGATGTTACAGAGGCGAGCCAAAATTAATTTGTGTGCGCTGCTGATGGTCAGACCGGAAGGGAGGAGCAGCCCCTGCTTTTAATGTGATTGTCCAGTTTGAGTCATCTTTTTAGTGTTGCCATGCCCAGCCAAAGGCAATAAATGGCTTGGTCAGAGAGTGGTGATAACCCCATCTATCAAGCCCACTGCTCTGGCCCCAGACCAAATGATGACCACAATTGTTGAGTTACACAAAGTGAGGTATGACTGTAGCGGGCAGAGCACCCAGCAGGAAGGACATGAGTATCCAGACAAAGCTTTGCATTTGCACTCAGGGAAAAATTAGTTCTGTGGTAGCACACATTTTAAGCATGAACTGACGTTTATTTCAATCACTTTCTGTACCTGTAACTATTGTAAATCTTCTGTGTACATGTAAATATGTAAAACAGCCTGAATTGTAACATGTATGTTTTCCAAAATACAGATTTATATTACAGAAAGTCAACCTTTTTATGTAGTTTAATCAGCCACTTTGAATAAAAGCTTAATTGCTTGGGGACTGTCATGTATTCTCAGTGATGAAGATGACATTTCTTTTCCCTTAGGACCCCTGCTAGATAGACCAAAGAAAATTACTCCACACTTATCCCTCCGGTAACATTTTGAATTTCAGCCTAGTATGGGAGATGAAACAAGTCATTTAATGGTACTTTTTTTTATTATTATTGCGCAGTCCATTAAGTGACACTCCTCAAATACAAGAGCAAGATTTATCCAAACCAGAAATGTACAAACTAAACAATAAACAGCTACTGAGTGTATTTTAACATGGATTGGTCCTTGCAAAATAATGATTGAATAATCTAAAAATAATAATTCAAGTGCGTAACATGTTCAGTACTTTTGCGCCCTAGTTTTGGCTTTCAGGAGCACCCAGGGAGCACTAGAATTTCAAGCAAGAGGCACCATCAAGTAGGCCAGCTGGTTATCATAAATATCCCAACTAACCTCTGTGTCCAAAGATGTAGCCATAGTCATTTCCCAGGCCCTTCTCTTCATAGCCTGCCAAAAACACAGCCAGTTCCTAATCATCATCATCATCGTCATCGTCGTCATTGAAGTGAATGTGCTGTCCTCTTGGGGCAGACGCCCACGTTTTGCCGTAGCCCTTAGTGCCGCCTGTAGGCTTCTCCTGGGTGGTGATCAGGTCTATGATGGCTGTGATGACAGCGCAGTCTTTGGACTGACGGTTTTGCCAGTCCACAGGAGCAGGTTTACGAATTTTCTCCTCCAACAGAGAATCTAGCTCTTTCTTTAAACTCTGTAGAGAAAAAAGGAAAAGGGAGGTTAGTAAAATTAGACTGTCAGCAAATAGAGCTTTGATGATTTGTGTGCATACTTCACTTGCCTTGACGAGGTGAGCGATGCGTGCCGGGGATCTGAAGACGATCCACTGGTCCACCGCGACAGTCTCCTGGCCGTCGTCTTTCTGGATTGTGATGTCTCCTCCGAAGAACAGCAGCGAGAACGGGGACACCTCCGTGCAGTCGTACAGGAAGATCTGAGGACACACGTTCACAAACGCGCGACGACAGGAGTATTAACAAAAAAAACGCTAACACACTCAGTGACAGGGAGCGGCATCGTTATGACACACCGTGCCCGACAGCTATTCTGCAGTGTGGGCTGAAAGTGTCCCATTAGTGAGGAGAGTTTGAAATGTGTTTCAGTGCCTCCAGTGTTAGGAGAAATGTCATCTTGCCCTGTCTGTGAATCGAATGTGCTACACTGTTTTCCATCCATTTCCCACCCTGTGTTAAACTGACAGCTGCTTATGTAGAGTGGCTCAACTATTGATACCCAAAATGAAACACAGCAAAGCCCCTAAACAAAAGACAAAGTAAATATTTTTTGCAATAACTGAACATTCTGAATATTGCATAGAGAAAATAAAAGTGATACTCTATGTAATGCACTCATCTGTATGCACACACTCACAAAAACCGCTTACAGCTAAGCCACAGAGAGTACATAAGCAGCAGACTGTCAAACAAAACCTATTTCAGCTTTGAAGGTAACAGACGGAAGATTTGAAAGTGAGCGTCAGAGAGAGGTAGAAACAGAGCGTGGGAGTGGGTACGAGACAAGAGAAGCAAGGAGACGGCAGGGACACCTGCATTTGCCCCATGAATGTGTAACGTGATGGACCACCAGGGGCAAGTGCGTCAGAGGAGATGAAGTTTAGCGTCATCCCTCTTTTCCTTTTGTTTTTTTTTTTCCTTTCTACGGCCCTGGTCTTCGGCTTCCTTTTCTCTCAGTAAACAAATGACCTTGATGATCTAACACTCTCAGAATACCTCACTTTTACTGACACACTAAAAAGAAAAAAAAACAAACATTTAATGGTGGCAATAATGAAGGTGAAATCATCCAGCAAAACATTTTTCTCCATAAAGACGAAAGCAGCAAAATGAGAGACAAAGGCACAGGCAGCAATCAGAGAGGACATGAAAGGTGTTTTTCTACAGAATGGTAACATTCACAAAGAGAGACGGCACAGAAAGAACAAAGACAGACAGATGGAAGGGAGGGGAAAATGGGAGTCTGAAGAGGGCCAAAAAAAGAGAAAGAAAAAAGAGCGAAAGAGAAAAAGATAGAAAGAGGAGAGAGGGCGGCAGTCAGGGAGCAGCATTGACCGTTTTGTCCCCCCAACACCACCTCTTACATTGTGTCTGGAAGCTTTGAAGCACAAGAGCCTTTGAGAGGGAAGTTGAAAGGCTGCGTTTTAATCAAATATTCATTCAGTGTAAAGCTGGTGTGGCACCACTACCAACCTTTAACCACTGGTCCCTCTTTCCACTCGTATACAAAATACAAAATACAAAAAGAGACAGCAACACAACACGCAAATGTAAAAGCCAACAACGTATATTAACGACAGCACTGAAACAGCATAATGCATTGTCTCTAGCCTACTCACACTGCTTGTTCTCATTTTGAGGTGGTAGATGAGCCATGTGTAGTTGAACTCCGTCTCTTCAGCGTTGACGGATTTCGGGTGGATACACACCTTTCCATCAGCCTGGGTGTACACCTTGGGTCTGAGAAAGATAAAATGTCAGGTCACATCCTTAAACACTTAAACAAAGACTTAAACAGAAGCATTATAGTTTATCTTCATTATCATTATCTTGATGACTAAATAGCTAAAGATAGCTAAAGGTGGAAAAAGTAATGTTTTGTCAGCAGACAAAAAAAACGTTTTCCCTAAAGAAAGGGAAGACATGATACGTTGATTTAGAATCAGTTAAAAATAAAGGTGATTAATTGGTTGACAGAAAATTAATTAAACCATTTTGATAACCACTTAATTCTTAATTATTTAAGTCATTTATCAAGCAAATCAAAAGACCTCTACATTCATCTAAAACAAAAGACGGAATTTAAAGTTGACACCTTCGACAATTCATCAGGAAAAAAAATATTAAAAATAAAAAGTTATTTGCAATTGCTAATTGAAAAAAAAAGTGATGGTAGACTAGTGACAAATTTAAATCACAGATCTCCTCGACCGCCACAGTGCACTGCAGAACATGGAGATGACATCTAGTCATTGAAGGGACTTGAGAGAATTTTCAATAGTCAATAGTCAAGTTGCATTGTGGGTAATTTCAGTGCTAAGCTTTGACGAAAATGAATGCCTGGAATAAAAAAAAGACAACTCTGGTTCTGCTGCAAGTGTTCAATGTAAAAGTACTTTCTAGTATTCTAAATCAAAAGTCAAAATAATTGCACAATTTCCACAGGCCTACTACAATACACGTGTGCGTTTGTATGCACATGTTGTTGCAGACGATGTGTTAAAATTGATCATTACCCAATTAAATTTTGTTAAAATGAATCTGAAAGTAGCTCTAGAAAGAACCCATCAGGTGCTTTTGGCTTGTGAATACGATACCTCCTGCCATTTTGGCACAGGGGGTACCACAGACAAATTGTCATGCAGTCGACAAATTATCTCTAACATGAAAGTAACATCGTGTTCCAAACTCCTGCGAGTCAGCCAGACAAAACCGACTGGAGGGAACAAACTGCTTGTACCAGACAGCAGTCTGATTTAGCAGCAAAACAAACAAAAAAGTGCAGTGAGCAACAAATTCATTAAATACTGCCAAGCTGTGGTGTGGACATGTGAAAACTTACAACTGGCTTAGCATCACAACTGTGAGAATTACTTATGCAGAGGAAATGACCCTGGCGATTTCACTGTGCAACTGGGTCTAAAGCTGTCACTGAGACAGACAAACAAAGTGACAGCCCTACTGTGAGAGCGTTCGTCTGTCTCCCTGCTGCGTGCATCTGTCTTTTGCACACAGGTCACAGCCACTGTCTATGACAGCTGCCTGAGGGCAGTTTTATGATGACTGCATTGATCTTCAGCTGCACAAGCACCTCTGTTTTTGACAATTTTCCTAACATGGTCTCTGCACAGCCTCAGGTAATTGTCACAGGACCCTTACAGAACTCTTACCTGAGAGGTCTGATGAGATATTGCAGTGTGAAGGCCATTTTTCTGTCTTAAGATCAATAAGAATGATTGTGCGCTTCTCTATCTTATGCTGTGCAGCCCTTTCCCGTCTGTCTTTGTTCATCTCCATCTTTGAATTGGCAGACTCACCCCGGCCTCTTTTTGCTGTGAGATGGTCTGATCATTGCCACCTTAGGGTACAGGCCAGCTACAATCACCGCCTTGATTAACTTCTCATTGTCTGAGGAAGGAAGTTTTAGTTAGAAAAAGAAAAAATGAGCTCTGCAAGATGTACATGTCGCACATAATATTACTATTACTGCTCCACAGTTTGGTGTCAGGATTCTTAAGATTGAACATATTCTGACTGCTGAAACACAGACAAAAAACTGCTCTTACTTACCTGAGTTGACGTTAGATTTGGGGTCTTTGGGGTCTTTGCTGCTGACAAAGCCTGCATGCATTAGATGCTCAGCAAACTGACCCTTCATGTTGTGCAGCATCTGAATGATAAAAGGACAAATTACTTCTACAGAGGCTGCATGTCCTCATCTGCTCTGACAGAAATCAACTTAAAAATGTAATCATGGACTTTCCTCTGGTTTTATTTTCAAAGCACTTCAGCGCAGCACTCACAATCAGCCCTGGCTCACCTGGAGTGTATTGGCAGACAGGAAGTTGTCCCAGCAGTACTCCCTCTCATACCTGGAACCGTGCTGTTTCGCTTCCTCCCAGCCCTAGCCAATCAATGGATGATAAATTAAGACAGGATCAATTTATACAGCAGACAGAGATCAAAAGAAAATTGACAGATGTGGCCCATTATACCTGGAAGGCATTGACAATAGTGAGGTGGTCACTCTTGGAGTTTCTGGACAGGATCTTTCTCCTCATGTCTGCCATCTTCTCTTTACCCTGAGAGAGGCACATGCATAAAATAATATTTAAGACTGACTTTGTAATGAAAAAAGTCAGAAGGTAGAGTGCAGCAATGTGTTGGAAGTGTGCATATGTGTCGCTGCAGACATAAGCTTTCATGTC